TACTTAAAGGATATTAAAGGATATTGCAGGCACACCCAGAAAAAGCCTACAGGAAAGGGAAAGAGGGCACACCCACACAGACAAACTGATGCCTCCCAATACTCCCAATAAGGAAAGCATAGCCTCCAAAAATATGAGTCATCATCAACAAAGCAGAACAGGAAATGTGTCAAGTTACATGTCAAGTTTCAACTTCTAGGATAGGGGGTGTCTAAAAATGTAAGCGCTCCATTGTGCCTCAAAAATGTAACTTACATTTTTGAGGTCATTCCCCGGGAAATCACCCATGAGGCCTCAAAAATGTAAGTTACTTTTTTGAGGCCACCTCAAAGTTAATGTAATTACATTTTTTGAGGCCCTACGGATAGGAAAATGTAACTTACAATTTTCGACGTCCCCCCTCAGGAAGGGGTAGGGATCACAAAACATATAAGTTACCGGGGCGGCAGACGGACCACGAAAGTGAATAACATTTCTGGCATCACACTGTGCTCCTGCATTCTGGTGTTATGGCCGTTCGTCGCCCCAGTAACCAGTACTTTTGGGGCTAATGGGAACGGACAGTGGCCCAAATACTAGCGCAGAGAAATGTACCTTTCACCCCCTGGGAAGTCTTGGTCGGGGAGGCTGACCTTGCCGCTGTCCGATGGGGATTGACTAGCCTCTGTTGTCATGGCTTACTGCTGGTCGGCATCAACACTGAAGAAAGCCGGTTCCATGTGTCTAGCGCGGAGCCTCGCGACCACTTGTAACCAACGCGTCTCCATCACCTGCGTGTTCCTCTTGGCTTTCGTTTCCCCGTTGTCAGGTATATTTTCAATGTACCCAGTCTGACCTCTCCTATTCGATAAATGGCAGTTGTCATGTGCAGTGTCCGTGTAGTTTGACTCAAAAGTATTCAAAGCCGCTGAGCATGTTCCAAAGAAGGTAACAAATTAGGGATGATGAGAAACGTAACATAGTACCATTTTAGCCCAAAAGGAACCTATCGGCCTTTACGTTGATGCAATACTTTACGGAGAATACACACAGGTGCCCGGAGTGCTTCCCGCTGGACTATACAGCTTTGCTAGGTCTGTCGCAATCCAGCGGGGTACCCCCAAGCATTAATGATCACAGGAACTGTTCCATTGGCATCTCAAGCATTTCACACACTGGTCCCGATGGGCAAAGTTCGAAAGATACGAAGACTTCAAACTTTCCCGAAATGAAAGTCCAAGTTCAAACCAATCGACCTGGGTGGGTCTGAAGCAGGTTGCTAAGGGTCAACATCTGAAACGGACGAATGGCGGGGTTTCGTGTCAGGAGAAGGTTTCACTTTTGCGCCAGAACCATACAACGAAACTTGGCAACCAAGGCTGCAACTGGAGACCTTTGAGAATGTCCAAACTTCACACGGCTGTGGGCTTTGTCTGGAGTTCAAATTTCTTGCTCTACAGAGGCTGTAGACCACCTCCCCCATCTTCGCACAGGCACATTTGCAGAAAATTGCTGTCCAAGGTCAGTTCAGAAGACTTGGATGCCTTTGTTTCAAGACCTTTGCGGGCCCTGGTCGAGAAGCACACCCTCGCCTGTTTTGATCAACCTACATGCAGCATGCATATTTACTCGTATATTTGAGACTCGTTGCTCGCTGTTCTTCTCTAAGAAGAATCTTTGGGAGGTAGTTGTGTTCTCACAAACGTGCCAGGCATATTCAGTTTGACGACCCTGCAGAAGAGGCTTCCATTTGATTCGATTGTTTTATATATGTATTTAGTTTAAGAATGCTTTGGGGGTTGTAGACTGCTCCGCCTTCACAAAGCACAAGTGGTGATCCTTCAAGCTTCAAGGGCCCTCCCAAGGTTTGCAGTTCAGATCTCGTAAAGAATCAAGTATAACTACCAGTAGTTTGTGCTGTAGACAACTAGTACTGGGTGAGACCAACCCTCGGAACTGGAAGGCAGATGCAAAGATGCCCTTTATTCTTGATGCTCATCCAGCGATGCAACATGCTGTTTGTGCCTCAAGGAACATGCAGTCATGGAAGGCTTCCCTAGTAAAGAAAATACACTCTGGATCAGGTTGCCAAAGCGATGATGGGGCGGTTGGCAAAAGAGATGCGCAACTATGCAGCGATGCACAACAAGCAGTATCAATCTTACCAAGCATTCCTAATCTTGGACACGACAGGAATGCCGATCGCCGCAACCAAGGAAGCTTCCGAAGTTGATTCACATGGACATTGACGGAATTGTCGCTGGGAACAAAGAGCGACGTCCCAAGGAAGGAGTTGCTCACAAGCTGTGCTGGTGTCAAACCTGATTCGTAGTGAAGCTTGAACAAGGTTATTGGAGAAAGCCTTGGCACAGCTCCGCGATCTTTTTGAAGGTGGACGGCTGAACCACCGTGATTCCTCAAATCGAGAGTACCTTCACAGTCTTATATACAGTCTATTACCTTACAATGCCTTACTACCTCTCGCACATCGGTCCACGAGTCGATGTCATGCCGGACACTCTGGTCTGAACGTGGAAATTCCCCCAAGAAACACACGCAATCACCACACTCATGTACAGGAATCGTCCACGTTTCGAGACGACGATCAGCTCCTAAGCAGAACAATTGTGCAAGCATCGTGAGGCCTTTGGCCGACACATATGGCGCTGCACCTTCTATACATCCTTGGGGCATGATTCGTCCACATGCCCGTGGCTTTGTGGAATTGAAACTGCCCGGGAACGGTTGGGCTTCCTCTGACTTGTGTAGGAAGAGCAGCGCTTCCCTCAAGATCTTATATAGGCCACGGAAAGTAACCCCTGATTGATCACCAGGCAGACGGCGGCCATCTGCATGGAATGCACAGAATGAGATCGATTCATCACCAGAGCACTTCCACTTCAAGTCTGCCAAAAAACCAATAACAACTGTCCATGTTTTGTGGCCATGTCGCCATGATTTCGGAGGTGCAAGATCGGATGGTATTTTGGGCTTCCACCGGAACTGTGATACCGGTGTAGACCAGTGCCACTGCGGGTACAAGGCTGCTGCTTGCGTACAACTTTTCCGGAAGTTCTGAAACACCCTCAGCCTGTTCATCAGCTGGGGCTTCATTCTTTGTTGGCAGCAGAGCATGCAACACAGAAAGCCAATGATGATGCTTGTAAATCTCATGCTTGGCCTGTAAATGAACTGCATGTTCAACAGGAGAGAGGCGATGAGCCAACTGCTTTGCAACCCGATCAGCTATACGGTTCAAAATGATATGCTGTTTTGTGGAGCCACGCGCAATGGCTTGCTCCTCAGTAAGCAAATTATCTGGGATACCCTCCAACACATGTGCCGGAATCCAGCACGCTTTGAATGGCTGCAGGTGGATTCCCCGTCGCTGCTCAACCAAGCTCCTAAACTTCCGCCACCATGCTTGGCATCGCCGCTTGACATCAATGATGCCATCTGCCAGAAATGAAACAACCTGCGACACAGCTGATTGCCAGTCGGAAAAGCCCACGAAGCACTGAAAAAGACCTGGAGGATGGCCCACAATTCTGTCACATACGAAGACAATGCCCAGTGGTTCACCATTCCACACGACACAGTTTGGCCGCCCTCATCAATAATTGAGAAAGTGCCAACGGCCAGCCAGAAGTTTTCACCATGCACAACTGAGCCATCCGTCCATCTCTTAGTCAATCCATCCGGGCTGAAGTACTCAGCAGGAACAAGCCCATCCGCAGATTGATGAAGGAATCTTCGGCGGCCAACAAACCAAGGGTGCTCAACATGGCTTAACGTTCGGAAGTTTTGACCAAGCTGATGCCCCACTGGGGCTCCGATGTCATTGTGCAGAACTTTACATTCAGCCGTCAAGTGGTCCATTGACTCCTTAGTGGTTTGACAGAAACGGCGTTCGGAGGATGACGTCCAACCGGTGGCTGCCATACGATCATTTGTCAGTGAGCAACCTACAACAACTGATTCAAACCTTTTCCTCAACGGTAATTCACCAGGTGTAGCAACCGGCGAATGAGCAAGATACAAGGTCGAAAGTTGATGGTCAAAAATGCCTTGGGGTTTGCAAAAATCTTTCCGAGGGGTATGAGTGGCCCGAGCATAGCAGGCATGCCTACACACTGCTTGGAGGGCTCGCCTCGCATCTTGTGGAGACAATTCAGCAATGCAAATTGGGGCAGATCCCTGAAAAGACAAGCGCAACTTGGTATCGATTTCCAATCCCAAGGTATCACATGCCATCAAAAGCCGACTCGCTAACGAGTGTGGCAAAGCGTCAGCGTTTTCCATGGTTCGTTGAAGTTGCAGAAACAAACCAGGTTGCAAGTGGCATGATCGAATTGTTTCCAGCGCCACCTGATAGGCGCAAGCGAACGTCGGTTCGGTACGATGCGGTGCGGACAAAATGGCTTGAACAAGCCACTTTGACCTCCATTTTGGTCTGCCATACCAGAGACACCGGACAATCGCATGTTGTATTTGGTCAAGTGCACGTTTGGGGATGCGTGAGATATGTGCGCCGAAAGTAAGTCTGGGGATGACTTTGGCTCCAACCAGAAAGGATTTGATTTTACGCGACACTGGGAGCACGGCAATATTGTCAATGTCATTCAACGCTTGTTTTAATGACTTCGCAGAAAAACCAAATGGTGATTTGGCTGAAGTGTAAATGCGAGTTCCCAAAACTTCAAATTCGGTGACAACTGCCAAATCAGCAAAAACGGCTTGTGTTTGCTTTCTGCCATGGGAATTGTTGGACCACAATGAGGACTTACCAGCATTGAGTTTTGGCCGACTAATGCATCCCAGACACCTGTGAGTTGAACTGCTGTCTTAAGATGATGCAGATCAATGACGCGGCGCCACAAATATACATCAACGACGTAAGCGCGAACAGAGATACCTTGGAGATTTTTGATCAAATGGTACCAGACTTTATTATATACGTTCATGGCTAAGATCGAAAAGGAACACCCTTGCGCCACTCCATTCGCACGGGTGACTGGAACAGGTGAGGTCCAACTCCTAAACGCAAGATGCTTGCGCATGCCTTGATACATCCTGATGAACTCACTGGCGACATGTTTGGGGATTCCAAACGCAACAAAAAGGCAGGCGGCGAATTGTGGGATTATTCGGTCAAACGCCTTAGATTTGTCAAGTTTGATCCCTACCACGGTATCGCTGTCAAGGTTAGCTGAATCAAGTTCAAGGCGCACTTCATTCGAGAGATTGGACATCGCTCGGTGCTTGACACCCCCAATGATTGCCATTGGAAAGGCCTGCTGTTGCCATTGCTGCAACTGTGCGTATCGCGCACCCGTAGACGCCAGAAGCAGGGGAGGGAGGACTGTTATAAGTCTCTTATTTGTGGCAGAAGCCGGTCCTGGCTTGTTCAGTATCACTTGCTTTGCAAACACCAGGGCTCTTGGCAAAGGGTCCATTGGACTCCTCAAGAGACTTGAAGAACAAGGCAAGAACATGAAAACACAAAGGATGGAGGGCCTGTGGCTCTTGCGTCCGCCATCCGTCCAACCCAGGGGCAGCCTGTTTCTTTCTTTTCTGGATGACTTGGAACAAATCTTTGGGCGAAACCGGTGGAAGGTGCACTTGGACTTGTATGTCATGGATATACGGCCACGCAGCCTCTAACATTTTAAGAGGGTGCTCCGACAACACGTTCGCAGCGAAAATGTCGTCCCATGCTTCATTAAGAGTCTGGATGGCTTCTTCTGGTTGGGTTACAATTTGATTGAGACTATTGGTCACAAGATTAGGAGGTTCATCTTGGGCTTTTTGGCGGAGATGTTGAAAAATGTAAGCGCAACCATTCTCGGCTGACTGAGTGATTTTCTTTTTCCAACTTTGAATCCGCTTGAGACGAATGCGGCTATCAAGTGTCGAGGCAAAAGTTTCAGCCCATCGCCGCACCAAGTGAATTTCCACGAGGGTTGGTCGAGACGGGATGGTCCACACGATGGCTTTGCAAAACCGTTGAACACCATGGTATGTTTTCACAGCAAGCCTAGCGGTATTGAACCCATCCTGGGGCGATCCGACTTCGCGAGAAATCCTCACAAAAAGCTCATCCAACCTATTAATCAATTTATACAAGTCAAGAGAAACTCGTGTTGCAGCGCATTTGGTGGAAAGCTGTTTGGGACAAACTTTCTTTGCCACAAAAAGAGGGGGTTTTGCACGTACGCGAGGCCCAGCGCCCCGCAAACCTCCCTGATCAAGGATGGATTTTTGGAGAACTCATTGACAACTAACTTCCCATTTACTGTCATGGCAGGGAGCATTCTCAAAACGCTGGGCAAACTGCTCATGCCACACTGGTGACGGCTCATCGCACCACTCCGCAGGGGAGATATTAGAGACGTCAATAGGAGCAAACTTATGCAGGATGAACCCTGTTTGATGAATGGATTCCCAATGGAATGACACCTTAATCGGGCGATGTTGTCGTCCAAAATGCTCCATCACTTGAACATCACGCATGGCGCAAAAAGCGACCTTGTTCAAGAGAACCCCATCGATTGAGGTGCATCCTTCGTCCGCTCCAGAGAAGGAGCAATCTTTGGAGTATGTGTAGGGTCTCACCGATTGCCCCCACTCATCCGTTGTTGTCAGCGGGTCAACCCATCCTTGAAAGTTGAGGGCTCCGGCAAAGGACTCATACGACCCTGGGGGGGCTTGGAAGTCACCCGCAATAATGACAGGGATGTCCCCAAACTGTGCAATCACAACCAGAAGATCACTGAACAACTTGTTGTTATCAGCATGAATCCTCGAATCGCTTGAAGCACCTGTGCAAGCGTACACACTGAAAACAAGAGCTTTAACACGCGAAGTGACTTGAAACCAAGCAGCTGCAACACGTTTGGTGTAGAAAAGCTGCTGGTACAAACCTGTTGGATCATGCGCAAACTCAAAGGGAGTAATGAGGCAATCTGCACCTAAAACAGCTGTTCCCCCGCATGGTGTTTTGGTTGCGCCATTAGCATGCCAAAGGCCAGGAAGAAGTTGTCCCAAAATGGACCTCAGTCCTACCGCCTCAATATTCTTGGTGGAGGTAGGAACATTGTTCTTGCCGATGCGGGTTTCCTGTAAACAGGTTATGTCAGCACCCCACGACTTCCACAAGTGATTCGTGTTAAGGGATCCTACATTTGCAGACGCGAGTGTACACAGCTCTGGCCCTTCTCCAGGAAACCCTTTGGTGTGATCAAAAGATCGGTAAACTAGAGTCAGAGCGGCGCATGCTGCACTCACAATGCGAACATATTTTGCCACACCGGCACGAGTGCAAAGTGGGAAGGGCCCACTGTTCCTAGGTGTGAACACGTCAAAGTGAGGCTGCAGGTCACACCGTTGTT